TAACCCTATTTAATAATAATAATGATGACCTTATTTATTACTATTAACAAAAATTATTCATTTATTAACCAATTAACCATATTTATTCCTAATTATGATGGCCCATTATTACCATTACTTCATTAGTTACCCAACAAAAACTTCACGCGAATCACACCTTCACTCCACCTCACCAGTGCCTCTCCCTCATTTATCTTACTCTGCAGAAGTCTTTCGTCTTCATTCTTCCATCAGTTAAGCTCAAAAATCCCTAGTCCCAATGTCTACTCCGCCTCCATGCTTGACTTTGCATCTTCCCCTTTCAATCCTTCTTATCCCCTACTTATCTCAATCACTTTACCAACCACTTGTTTAATACTTTCTCTCCATTTGAACATTCATCCACCTCTCTTGTTTGTTCTCTCAAGCCAAATCCTTTTGTGTTCAAGGTATGGGTCTTTTAGATCGATATATATTTTTTCATTTTGGATTGTATTCAATTTTTAGTTTTAATATTTGATTCTATTTAACTTGATTTCATTTGAAATTTTATTTTATTTTTATCTAAAAATGGATTTTATTTTATTAAATTTTATCTGTTTTCTATTGATTTTTTTACTCCACTTGATTATTATTTTTATTATATTTTGTGATTTTTTTTATGTGACTCATAATCTTGTCTCATCTCTCTTTTAGTTTCTTATCTTTAGCTTTTTCTTGTTTAGTGCTTCAAATTAACTGGTGTTATTTTTCTTTAGCACTTGAATATTTTGTAGAAGATGAAAAGGAACCGAAGTTAAGGCAATGGTAGTCCATCTCAAAGACCAGTAGCAATACAAGGCACACTATTGTTGACACAACTAGAAATAGAAATGGTCTTTGATCTTATTCATGGCAATTCGGCCTAGTAATTTGAACGTTTGTAATGTAACATTCTGATTACAAGACACAGCCATGTATATTCACAAGCTTTAACTATGATAAATAATAAAAACGTCAACCCACATGTTAACCCATAATCTATTAAGATCGAGTTAGAATTGATCATTCTCAACTCATGACTCGTTAGTAGCTCAACTCGTGTAACCCATCACCCAAGTTGATCCAATCCAAACCAACCCACCTGTTTGTCAGGTTTATTTACTGTTATTATCATGTGCACAAATATCGAAGATACATGGAGGCTTTCTTTTTTAGAAAACTTTATTAGAGAGCAAGTTTAATAGAAAACTTTTTACTAAAAAATTATTATA